TTGATAGATAATAAGTTAACAGAAATTAAAAGAAATAGGGGAAAATGTTGTTTTGCCCTCAGCACCAGAAGATATATATATATATATATATATACACACACACACAGTATATGTACAGTATATTTATATATATGGTGACAGGCATTTCTTCTAGGGTTTTAGTTTGGATTTGGTACTTCACAAAAAGACCTGCACAAAGTTAACATATTAAGTGTAAAGTTGAGAAACTGTGATTTAAATGTGCATGAATATTAAAGAGACTAATGGATTAACCTTTCTGACCTGGCAAACGGGAGATCTTTTCATATATTCATGAGGTTTTTTTTTTCTTCTTTTGATTTCTTTTCTTCCCTTTGATTGCTGCTTTTCAGCGTCGACTGCTTGTGGAATGGATCGGTGCAGGACAGAGAAATTAACTGGTAGGCAGAGATGTGATTACTGTGAACAGATTTAATTTGTTGTCCCATTTCTGCCACTTATCAGATGCTTATTAAAACCTGCAAAAGGCACATGCTCAGCAGCTTTGATCAAGATTTTAATCTCAGCTCATTATTGTATGTACTTCTGCTAGGATCTGTGGAGGTATTTATTTTTTGCTCACTGTCTTAAAAAGTGGGCAGTCATGTAACTGCATGTGTAACTTTATTTGTCTGTTAGCAAAATATCAAACCACTTGATGGATTTAAACAAAACTCTCAGAAAATGAATCTTGAATGTACATCTACAGCCGATTAACTTTTAAAATGAATCCATTATAAGGTGGCTGCCACAGCTAATTGATCTTAACAAACACATAAATGGACATAACTTGATATATTTTACAGATATTAAAGTTAAGTTTGGTTTGGTAGTAGCTGAGATTCATAGACATCACACAACACAGATCACACAAGATCTTTGTTTAAAACGTTGGCATGTAGGGTAGCTAATTGTTTATTTCAATGTAAAGAAATGTTTTTGTGTTTATTTGTATGTGCTCTTTCTGTTAGGGCATTGATCTTCTGGGTGGACAGGAAGGCTCCAGTCTGGGCCATTCAAGTGAGTCAAAACCAAATTAAGAGAAATACAAAATAATAAAGGAATAGTTGCACAATCTGAATATGTGTTTTGACCCATCTTTAATCTAAAGCATAAATGTTTAAACCAATTATTGAAAAGAAAACACTTCATATTTTTTACTATTTAAATGTTTCTGATATGCTGTAGGCTGTTGTAAGGTATTTACATGTTATGTTTATTGTTTTCCTGTTTGTTCAGGTAATTGTGGCCATTATCAGCTTCCTGGAGACAATGTTACTCATGTATCTGAGCTACAAGGTGAGAATAAGTTATAAAATGTAAAAACAAAAACAAACAAAAAAAAACCGTAATGTTCCATCATGATTAATGCATTCTGTACAACTCAAGCATGCAGCATTAGACTGTCAGTCTATAAGTGGTATAATTAAGCAAAGTCATTTGTCACAGCAACAATAAGAATCAAGGATTGGTTGAGGTGAGGAAGTGAGTGGTTGGTGAAGGATACATACAGTACTATATATACTGTATATACAGGTATGTGTGTGTGTTTGTGTGGGTGTGTGTGTTGATAGGGCAGCACAGTGTTAAGAGCTGTCATCTCTCGGTGAGAGGGTCATAAGATCACCTCCCGACCTGGGGTCTTTCTGTGCCGAGTTTCATCTGGGTACTCCAGTTTCCTCCCACAAATGTTAGGTTGATGGATGGATGGATGGATGGACGGATGGATGGATGGATGGATGGATGGATGGATGGATGGATGGATGGATGGATGGATGGATGGATGGATGGATGGATGAAAACAGTTGATCCGTTTTTATTTATTTGTTTATTTATTTATTTTTTTTTTTCTGGAACATTTGTTTTTAGGGAAACATCTGGGAGCAGATATTTCAGGTGTCGTTTCTTCTGGAGATGATCAACACAGTTCCCTTCATTATAACAGTAAGTTTCCTATAATTGGTTTCTTACGGTTTGTCATTGCTCTTCGTAATTTTTTTTTATTTGTTGCCAACTTTACTATGAGTTATTCTAATTGTCTGTATATTTATTTATGTATTTCTGCACGCAGACTTGGAATGCTCATAATGACTGACATTTCACCTTTACCTTTACCTTTACCATTTATTGTTTATGCATTTATACCTTTATATGGATCATCTGTGCATATATAACTTTGAGGACCATTAGATTAAATCATGTGTGTGTTTTACGTATAAAAACATGTTAGCAACATCCTGAACTATGAAAGCAGAAAAAGTGTTACCTTTAACAAACTTGTCATGCTCTTCATTGGCATTTCAACTTGTCTAAAATGTGACTGGAATGTAATAATCAAGCTTTTCAACTGAGCAAATACAGTGGTATGAATAAGAAATTGTAAATACTGTAGAATACCAAATACGTGAATTCTGCCTAGAAGAGTACTAAAACCAAAACGTAAATAAAACTTTGGTAAAAGTAAATAAACAGAAGTGTATCAAAAAGTGAATAACGTTGGGTTAAAAGAAAATTAATGACATTTGATTAAATTTCAATTAGCTATCAAAACTAGAATTAAAATAAAACTAAAAATATTAAATTCTAAAAAAAAAAAACTTGGTTATATTTATTAAAAAAGAGTGATAACAACCAAAATCAGTTTTTATAGTTTTAGTTTTAACTTTGAGTGAAAAGACCTATTTTAAGGAAAAACTAAATCGGAGAAATAAGTGGGACCATTACTTAATTTAAAAACCTTACAGAAAAATGTTGAAAAATAAAAACACGAAACCAATACAGAGAGAATAGAGAAATAGAAACAGTTTTACTACTGTCTCAACATTTGTTAATGAAATAGTCAGAGAAATAACTTACAGGGACAAGTAAGTAATAAAGTAAAGTAAAGTAAAGTAAATAAAGTAATAAATTGAACATCCCAGTCTTATCCCAGTGAGTGTGTGTGAAGGAAAACTGGATAGTGTGAGGATCTGTATCACATCTCTAAGGCTGACTGAAACATGTGCGGTCTCAGGACTGAAAATTGTGATTTGATCTCACTGAAGATTGTAAAGTGTTAACATGAAGCTGTTAAACCACACAGTTCATTATCGTGGAGCAACAGAGGCTCGATCTGCTCTGTGGTCAGTATTTGTGCATCATTTACTGGTCCGGAGAGATGCTGGTAGGATTCTAGGAGAGAAGGGGTGAAAGCACCATGGCAACTGTTTTTTATGGTACTTGTCTTCTTAATACAAAGGTACATGGGTGTTTATTTTATTTTATTTTGCTTTTCCTCGCAAGACCTTTGTGTTCCCTCACAATACTTTCGCATTACCTCACAATATTTTTGATTTCTCACGCAAAGGTTTAATGTTTTGATGTGCACAGTGTTATATCGGACTTTGTGTAACTTACCCCCCTGTGAAAAGATAACTCTGCCCCAAGGCGAAATTTGAAAAATGCATCAAAGTGGGTAGGGGAGGGGGTGTGGGTAGGGGAGGTGGGGTTAGAGAGCGGAGGTGTGGCCAGGTCGAGAGAACGTGACAGGCAGCTAGCATTAGCATAATTGATGCTACATGAAAAGTGACCACAGTATCGCAGACAGTTACATCTCTGAACGTCTGAGGTGGAGGATTTTCACCCCACACCAGCACCGGACAGAGGAGTAGTGCTCCGACAGCCTGACAGAAAAAAATAAAAGCACACAGCTGCTCACGATCGCTAGTTTCAGAATATCCATTTACTAAATCAGGATG